ACATATTTATCATTGCCAACATTCTTCATTTCTTTGTATTTGATACACTTTCCCTTCTGGTTTTAGAACTCCTTTAATATTTCTTGTAGTGGAGATTTACTGGTGATAATTTTCCTCAGCTTTTGTTTATTTGATACAGTCTTTTGTTTGACTGCAGTTTTTAAGGATATGCTCTTCTAGCTTCACAGTTGTTTTTTTGCAGTACTTTTGTTCTGTCACCTGGCGTGTATTGTTTTGGATGGGAAGCCAGTAGTGATTCTTTTCTTTAGATGTAATGTGTCTTTATATTCTCTGACTTACTCTTAAGATTGTATCTTTATTGTTGGTTTCCAACAACTTGGTCTTGATGTACTTGGTATGATTTTTTTCCCCTTATATTTGAAGTTTGTTGAACCTTTTACTTCTGTGGTTTCATTGATCTTATCAAATTATATATTTTTGCCTGTCTCCTTAGGTTTTTTTCTTGATCTCCATTTATACTGATTTTTATTTATTTTTTTTTAAATATTTTTAAGTGTTTTATTTATTTCTGAGAGAGAGAGTTAACAGGAGAGGGTCAGAAAGAGGGAGACATAATCTGAAGCAGGCTCCAGGTTCTGAGCTAGCTGTCAGCACAGAGCCCGACGCGGGGCTTGAACCCATAAACTATGAGATCAAGACCTGAGCCAGAGTTGGATGCTTAACCGATTGAGCCATCCAGTCGCCCCAGTTATACTGATTTTTAATTTTTATATGGTTATACAATTTCCTTTAGTCATTTCTATTCAGTCTTTTTTTTTTTTCTGTGCTTCAGTTTGAATAGTTGCCCTTTCTTCAAGTTTACTGATTGTTTCACTGCTGCAGTTATTATATTTTAAGACCTTGTCTGCTGTTTTTATCATTTCTATTATTTCTGGGTTTAACTATATTGAATCTTTTTGAACTTGTCTCACTTTAAACTTTCTCTCTGGATCAAGTTGGGATTTTTTTCTTCTTGGTTTTGTTTTTTGTTTTTTTTAAATTTTTTTAATGTTTTATTTATTTCTAGGAGAGAGAGAGAGAGAGACAGCGTGAGCAGGGGAGGGTCAGAGAGAGAGGGAGTCACAGACTGAAACAGGCTCCAGGCTCTGAGCTGGCAGTCAGCACAGAGCCCGACGCGGGGCTCGAACCCACGAACCGCGAGATCATGACCCAAGCGAAAGTCGGACGCTTAACCGACTAAGCCACCCAGGCGCCCCTTTTCTTCTTGGTTTTGAACTGTCTAAACTTTATGGAAAGTTTGCAGGCGTAGTCACAAATAATTTTTTTTCCTTAAAGTATTTGAGATTAATTTGCTGTTGTATGTTCCATCACCCTGAATACTTTAATGTGTACTTCTACCAAAAAATACATTCTGTCACATAGCCATAGAGCAAACCATTAAATTAGAAAAGAACATTATTTTTCCCATATATGTTTTACCACTTGTGCCTGTACTCTTTTATGACGGAATGATCTGGTCCATAATCATGTGTTCTATGTATTTGTCATGTCTCTTAAGTTTCTTCAGTACCTCAGTCCTTCCTTTACTTTCATGACATTGACATTTCTGAACATCACAGGTTGTGTAAAATATCTCTCAATTTGGGTTTTTCTCCAATTTACTCATGCTTAGATTCAGATTTTTCATAGAAATAATGTTATGTTCTTCTCATTGCATCCAATCAAATGATACTTGATTTCAAATTGTCCCATTACTACTAATGTTAACTTTGATTATGATGGTGTTTGCCAATCTTCTTCACTTTAATATTACTGTTATCCCCATGAAGTTGATATTACTTTGTGGATAGTTACATTGAGACTACATAAATATCTTGTTACTTAACATATGTTGCATTTATTTATATTAATTTATATCTTGATCAGCTCATGAATTTCTGTGCTATTCAGTGGATCACGTTCATTTACCAGCATTTATATTGATGTCTCATTTTATCACTTCGGCCAGGTGGCTCTTCTAGCCTGGCACTGTGTGCTTTGGACAGTTTCACGTCTCTCTGAGCACTTTCTTGCAGTAAGATTTCCAGACTCATTTTGTACTTTGCCTGTCCCAGCCTTGGAATCTGCCATTTCCTTAAGAGGCTCTGATGACTTTTGGTGGAGAATTTGGAAACCAAGTTTTTAGAATTTAAAAGCCAGGCTCTGGGTGCTAGGTGTGCTTATTGCTGTCGGGGTATGGCTGCTCTTGGGTTATCCCAGGGAGTAGAGCTCAGGAATACACACACATACACATACACACACACACACACACACACACACACACACACACCTATATTTATTTAGCTACATATATTGAACATTTTGAAATTATAGTGATAATTCCAATTTCAGTTCAATACAGCAGAATCATTCTTATTGTCTTTATTTATATGTTTATAAGTCATTTAATAGGGAGAGGCCTGGCTACTATCATCCTTAATTATTTATTTGATCAGTCCTTCCTAATATAATTCCCCTTTATTACCTCTGCTGCTTTTCTTTCAGAATAAACATGCCCCTCACCCCAGTGACTTCAGCAACCTCTGCTGGGCTGCTCTTCCCCAGGTGTGCTTTCTTACTCCATCAGGGTTCTGACTCTGAGTACCAGGTCACCCTGTTGCTTCATTGCTTTCTTTATCCTGCTTTACTCCTCCATGTTCTTTCTTGACATCTTCCCTACTGTATGCCTGGCCACTCCCTAGTCCTTGAGGATACCTGCATTACCCCACTGGGGCTGCAATATTCTGTCCGAGATTGCACTAGGCTGCCTTCTCCTGTGGACACTTTTCTCAGTCTGCTTTGCTTCAAAACTCCATGCAGCTTTTCTCCTTCCTATGAGAACTCTCCATACCATTCCCCTGTTCAGACCTTTCGGGAATGCCCTTCTCACTCCACTCAGACTGACCTCATGTTGAGCCACCCTTCCTTGAGGAAGTTCTCCTTACTGCCCTTGATTTCTCATACATAACGTTAGGTGACTGCCACCCCTACCTCTGTGCTGGTTTCCACTTGTCCATCTCTGTTCCTTCCAACCTCCCTCCAGCCAGAGCAGATAACTCCTGTAGAACACAGTCTCAGGACTACCCAACACTGTTAACCCTCAGAGTATCACACTGTAATGATCCTTGTCACCTTCAAAGTGTCTGTTCATTCAGCCTCTGTTTGAATCTCCCTTCAGGTATCTGCTACTCAGCACTTCATCCAACTGATAGAAAATTTCTTTTCCCTTCTTGTGTTTGGGTATTTTAGATAGGGTACCAAGTATGAAAAGTAGTAAAATTCTTATCAGTTTTTACTAACTGGCTGATAGAGGAGAATCCCTATAAAAATCTTGGTCTCAAAATGATAATTGCATATCACCAATTCAAAGATGTGTGTGTTTTTTGTTTTTGTTTTGACATTTAACTTATTTTAAGAGAGAGACAGCCTCCATGCTCAGCACAGAACCCAACTCAAGGCTCTGTCTCATGACACAGATCATGACCTGAGCCAAAATCAAGAGTCAGACGCACAACTAACTGAGCCACCCAGGGTGCCCATCGACCTTGAACATTTTTGAATGTTAACATTTTTTTCTTAAATATGTAAAATATTGTGTATGAAAAACAGTGGGCCTTTTTTTATTGCATACTATCTACTTTTTCATGATACATAGTCCTCACATCACAAGAAGTCATGGGATATTAAAAACAAAACAAAAAACCCCTGTTGTCCTGAGAACCACAACTGTTCCCTTCACATACTAGTATTAAAAAATACTGAAATATGACATTATGGTAACAAATTAGTACATTAGAACATGTGGGAGTCAGGATGGAATAGTCAAGATAAGAATAAGAAAAGAATAGGAAGAGTATCTCAGTGTTCATCTGACAAAATCCAGTGCGCCAAGGACACTGCTATTAGTCAGGTTCAGTTGAGTTATTTGACAAAATCCTTAAGTAATGAGAAAGGCAGTTTTATCTTTCTACATTATTATTTTTATTAATCTAGGATGATGCATTAATAAATTTTATATAATATTAACAAAGTTAATTGGTTTTATAATGCCAGACGTCTTTCTCAGCTGTGGAAACTTTCGATATACTCATTTAAATCAACTGATAGGAGCATATTTGGCCCTTCATATTCTACATGGTCAAGTCAGGTGAGAGCAGAGAGTTTGAGAGTGGCATTTGTATAGGAAATGAGACTCAAGAACTATAAGATAGTATCATGGATTACATGATTTCCATTCAATTCTTAGGAATTATCATGGAGTCATAAGAAGAATAGCCCAAGGTCTTGTTTCTTGTCAGAGAGTGCCGTTGATTAGTGGACTGGGATCCAAAATGACATGTAGACCTACTCAGAATCAGTCACTGGTTAGACCTGGGAATAGTTGGATGGTATCTCTTTGTTGGTCTTCCAAATTAGACTGTTCTATCTTCAGTGCCTAGCACCATGCCTGATACATAGTAAAAAAATATTCATTGATGAATGAATGAAAGACAGATGAAGATGAGGTCAAACTATTATGTTTAGTCACAGCTTCTCCTTTGTATTGATTTCTAGTGTCTGGAACGTAGAATGGCTTTAATATTTGAGGCATAAATAACACCCAGTGAAAATAAGTATGCTAAAGGAGCCAGTTTAATTAAGAGCAGATTTTTAGGGGCGCCTGGGTGGCTTAGTCGGTTAAGCATCTGACTTTCACTTAGGTCATGATCTCACGGTTCGTGGGTTCGAGCCCCGCGTCGGGCTCTGTGTTGACTGCCAGCTCAGAGCCTGGAGCCTGTTTCAGAGTCTGTGACTCCCTCTCTCTCTGACCATCCCCTGCTCACGCTGTCTCTCTCTCTCTCTCTCCTAGAAATAAATAAAACATTTAAAAAAAAAAAAACAGATTTTTATTTTTTTCCCTCTGTTTCTTCTTTGATGTATTCATTTTCTCTTTCATTGAAGTACATACATGCGGTTGCATTTTTATAAGGACATTGAAGAGTTGTTTTCTTTTCATGCAGGGGCCTGAATTAATGAATAAATATGTTGGTGAATCTGAAAGAGCTGTTAGAGAGGTAAGATGGTCTATACCTTAAAATGGAACTCTGCATATCCAGAATCACCCTTCTGTCTTTCTGTATGGTTTCATTTTGTTTTGGGTTACTGATTCTGAAATTTCCAAATCCAAATTCTAGTAGTATATTTTATTTTCAGGCAAATATTATTTTATTATTTAAAAATACAATTTTAATAATTGTATTACAGTACTTTGTTTTTGTCTTTAAACATCATAATATTACCAGCCTTTAGTTTTATCAAAAAAAGATTTTAACAACTGCCAGAGTTTCACTTAAAAAAAAAAGTACATCTATACTTACAAGGAATGCTGGATCTTGGAATGAGAGTTAAATCCTTTAAATTATGTAGTCCTTTAAATCAAATGAGTTTAGTATACAGAATTTTCACTTTACTCGCATTTTGATTGTTTTACCTTTGCCTAGTGATTTAGACATTGTATTCCCCCTCTTGTAAGATTTAAAGCCAGTGCCTGATTTATTTATTTATTTATTTATTTATTTATTTATTTATTTATTTTTGAAAGAGAGAGAGAGAGAGAGAGAGAAAGAATGTGTGTGTGTATAGGGGAGGGGCAGAGAGAGGGAGAGAGAGAGAATCCCAAGCAGGCTCCACACTGTTGACGCAGAGCTTGGTATGAGGCTTGATGTCATGAGCTGTGAGATGATGATCTGAGCTAAAATCAAGAGTCGTCTTAACCAACTGAGCCACCCTGGTGCCCCAAGCTGGCGCGTGATTGTTAGGCTACTCATTCATATCATGGAAGCTACACAACTTGTAAATTTTTGCAAAATCAGGGCACTTGGACTTAGGTAACTATAGCAATTTGACCACAGGTTTTGGCTTGCTAAGCAGAGATTAGCCTGCCTCACACAGACAGCCTATATTCTTCCAGAAGCTAAGCAAGGACAAGAACACACAAACAGCAATGGAATGGATGGTCTCCATTTATGAATATCTGGGTGCCAACCCAAGAGTATTAGAAATTAGAATACTTCATTTTTCATCTGAGAAAAAAAATTTAAGTTAAGCATTTTAAGTTTTCATTTCTTTAAAATGTAGACAGTGGCAAGTGTAGGAAAAGTTACCTAACAATGATGGCATGATCATTGATTAAAATAAGAAAAGGCAATGTTTATTAATTATTAATGCTTTGGTAACTGTTTTGAATTTTTATGGTCATGATCTTTGTGACCAGAAAATGGGGGCCTACGTTACAGGAAGTACACATTTGGATTTCTTTCTGCCTATGCTGACTTTTTCTAGCCTGTTTTCTTATGTTGCTCCCATAGCTGTCTGGCCAGTCCCTAGTGTTGATAGTCTGATTGACTTCTGGCCTAATCAGTTTATGCTCTTCCAAGTTTTGGTCATTTTTCTTGTCCTAGCTTTACATCAGCCATTACTTTTTCGTACTGTCTTCAGAGCAATGAGCAAGAAGTGTGGTTTTTGAGTTTATGGGTATTTTATATGCTAAGCTATAACTGATTTTACATGTTTATGGCTTTTCTTTTAAACATGTGATTATGATAGTTAATAATTGCTGTCATTTACTGAGCTCTTACTATGTTCCAGGCACTGTGCTAAATGCTTTGCATTCTTTTTTTTTAATTCAATTCTTAAAATAATCTTCTGAGGCAAGCATTTAGCATTATCTCCATTTTATAGGTATGGAAATTGAAGTTTAGAGAAGTAAACCTACACGCTGAAGGTCATGATTGGGCTGGTTGACTTGTACATAATAGATTTAGTTCCTAACATAGTTTTTAAATTATAGCCAACTGCAGAGTTTCTGAAGTTTGCTGATCTTTAGTTAATATGGTACTCTTTTTACCAGATCTTCCGAAAAGCGAGAGCAGTGGCTCCTTGCATTATTTTCTTTGATGAACTTGATGCCTTAGCAGTTGAAAGGGGCAGGTAAGAAATATTTAATAGGAATGCAATTAAATATCAGTGATTACATAATAGAGAATACAGCATTTCATATACAAATTCTATTTATTAATACATTTGGCCTACATAAAACATTTTTTAATTCATGTAGGGTTTTTCTCTTATACCCAACTATTTCAGGTTATCATTTTATAATACTTTCATATACCTTAACAAAATTTTCTAAATATGTATTTATTTTGAGAGAGAAAGAGAGAGAGATAGAATATGAGTGGGGGAGGGGCTGAGAGACAGGGAGACACAGAATCCAAAGCAGGCTCCAGGCTCCAAGCTGTCAGCCCAGAGCGTGTCGTGGCACTTGAACTCATGAACCATGAGATCATGACCTGAGCCGAAGTTGGACGCTTAAACAACTGAACCACCCAGGCACCCCCGTATGCTTTTTTAAAATTTTAAACATTCATATCCATTTGGGGCATTTGAGTTAATTTTCGAAGTTTTATTATTTACAGATACCCCTATTTCCAGAGACCCCTAGCACTGCCTCAGAATTTGGGTTGTTATAAACAATGATAAAAACTATAAACAAAACCCCATAAGAATAATTATACAATACAGTGAAACCAACTATAATAAAAGGTGTTATTATTCACAGATTTTAGTATTCTCTGGATTAGATGTTTCCTAAAATAGAGTTACAATAGAATAAAAATTAGTATTACTAGTTTTATTCCTGAATCTCAAGCAATAAAGATTATTTATATCATTTCAAATAACATGTATATATGTATACAGATGTATATATGTATATGTGTGTGGATGTATATATGTGCATGCACATGTGTATATCAGAACTATTTACAAGTATGATTTTTTTCTTCTACAAATGTTTAGAGGTCCTTTTAAGGGTTATGTGCTATAAGTGCTTTATGCAGAGAATGTTAATGTGTGTGCTTTGTGATAGCTCCCTGATGTACATATTTATTAGTAAAGTTTTGCTGATGATAATTACAGTGATGGTAGAAGGCACCTTGTAGGTCCCCAGTGTTGAAGTCTGTAAGAGGCATCGATGCTCTCTTCCTTCCTGGGTAGAGCTGCCTCATGAGATCAGAGTTTAAACTGTCATTATGAGACTGTTGAAAGGGGTATCCTGTCCTGCTCTACAACCTACCCATTCAATATCCTGCAAATCCCTATCAGTCTTTTTATTTTATGAGTTGACATACTTGGACTCTTTTATCGCTTCTGAGGTAAGATGCCACAAAATGTTACAGATAGCTCACGTTCACCCTTAACTTGAAGAGAAGAAAAAGAAGCTTGAGTAGTTTGCTGAAGTAGTGTGACCTGCCACATATTTGTGACATCAGAGACATTTTTGGAGCGTAAAAAAGGAACAGAGTAGGATACATTGTTTAAATATGAACCAGATGGGAAGTAGAGTATATAGCAGAGTTCTTATAAAATGCTTGTGAAATAAAGTGGTTTGAGAAACCAGACAAGGCATTTGATAGAAGTATCCTGGTTTTTTTTTTTTTTTAATATTTTTTTATTTATTTCTAGGAGAGAGAGAGAGAGACAGCGTGAGCAGGGGAGGGTCAGAGAGAGAGGGAGACACAGAATCCGAAGCAGGCTCCAGGCTCTGAGCTGGCAGTCAGCACAGAGCCTGACGTGGGAAAAAATATCCTGGTTTTGCAGGCAATTTTGCTCATTAGGAATTGGGTGCAAATACATTAAGAGATGCTAATGATTTACAGCCTCCAGAAATCGTTTCCTCTAATAGTCTTAATCATGTTGTGTATTGGTACCCCTCTCTCCCTCAGTGGCTTCTTCAAGCCAAATACAAATAAATTCTGTGTTGTTTCCATTCTGTGGAAAAATTTTTGGTCACATTTGTTGACATTTCAGAAAACAGAAGTGAGGCTGATAAGCAAACATAATGCTAATAGTCCAAACTAGAGATTTTTGGTTGCACCTTTAGTGCACTAAGCCTCATATAGATTGTGTTTTTAGCCATATGAATCTCAGGGAGAGTGATACCCTGTTTTCTCTTCTTTGTTTCTAAATTGTGATGGACCAACATTACCTAGAAAGCAGTTGTTTTATCTAAGTAGAATGCTGGCACCTAAAAACTAAAACATATAAAGCCTTCACATGTATATTTTTGTTCTTCAGCTATTTGAATTATACATTTTCTAGAACTTGAAAAAAACAGCTATTGGTAGATAATGCAAAGTATAAAATTCCGAAGATACTAAACCCATATTATGCATTGTTAGAGAAACAGAAAACATAGAAAAATTAAAAATTCCATAAACTAGGAGGCATTTATACATAATATTGTGATGTAGAATAGTTAGTGCTTTCATTTGTTAAATGTTCTTATGTTTTCTGTGATAACATTCAGATCAAACCCATATGACTAGTTCAAAATTGACAGTGCATGAAAAACTTATTAAGATTTTAATTTCTAAACTTAAGATGTTTAACAGATTGAGCAGAGAATTATGATATATGCCAGTCCTTATTATCCTGTGTGGCAAATTAATTATATTGACTATTTGAAGTTACTCAAATTAGCCATGAAACTGAAGTTTGCCACCAGCAGGCACGTTGTAAAGCATAGGTATATTGTTCGCTTAGCTTTAGAAATATTTGTGCTTTCATAATGAGAGATTTTCATGCTTATAGAAGTATATGATTACAACCACTATTTTCTCCTCCTCTCTGTCCCATTTAAGTTTCTTTGAGACTTGAAAAATAAATAAGCCTGATGTATTTTTCTGTATGCCCATTTAAATTATGGGTGTTCTGAATGAGTTGAAGGAAATGTTATAAGATTCCTTTTACAAGGTGTTTTAATGATCTCAATAAAATTTGGGAAAATTGAAAATATTGTTAAGGTAGCAGAGCTCTTTGGAAAATAGGTATTATGTCAGGGAGTAAGGCACCAAGGTAGCGAAGGACTAACAATGATATTAGGTGATATTCATTTAGTGCATATTATGTACTAGAAACTGTTCTAAGTGTTTTACAGGTAATGAAAAAACTCACAGAAATGCCCCTGCATTAATGCAAGGTAGGGTATTTTACATTTGGCAATTGGCCCCAGTACTCTGCCTCACCTCCCAGCAAGCTTAAATATTTACCCTTTTCAAGGTCATAGTGGAGACAGAGGAAGCTGAACAGTAAATCATCAGTCAGCCTTATCTTAGGCAGCAGTCCTGTACTGAGAAGTAGAGAGGTAGAGAATGAGTCCCCATATACTATATTCTCTTAGCCCAGTCTCCTCTGATAGAAGAAATGGCCACTGACTAACCGGGAGATGCCTCGAAAAACTTCCTCTGTCTAGGACATTCCATCTAGTCAGGGGATCCTCAGTCATCCTCATTAGCTGACATTGATTGCCTGGTAGTGCCAAACTTCAAGCAGAATAGCAGCACTGGGATTCAAATGTAGGTATTTCAGCTCCAGAGCAGATATACTCTGAGCCACTTTTCAACTCAACTACCATATCACAGATTCCAGGATTCCAGGTGTAAGTAGTTAACTAAACTTTCAAGCTTGTATTTATTGTTCATTGTCTCTGTGACTTACTTTAGTAATGACCCAGTTTGTTTAACTGGGCTGTTGTTAGATTCCTTTGCAGGCATTCATTCATTCACCTGTTCGGTAAATATTTACTGAATGTTCATTCTGCAACAGGCTTTATGTTGGGGATAAAATAATGAACAGAGCCTAGGGCAATTTCCTTACCCTCTCTATGCCTTTGTTTCTTCATTTGTAAAATGGAGATGGTAGTAGTAACAAATTTTAGGTTGTTAGAATTAAATTCACATAAATGCTTGACACAGCCTAGCATTTTAGTAAGTGCTTAAAAAACTTTAGTGTTTCTCATAATTTCAGCATAGATATAAGAATAATACCTACGATTATTATCTCCATATGGATAGAACTATAGTAATAGATATAGAGATGGATCCTGTCCCAGCAGAGATTACATTCTAGTGGGTGAAACTGAAACACTTGGGAAATTAGAAAATGTATTCTGTGGATGATGGGCACTATGGCATTTTGTCAATCTAAGATGCCTTCATTTGTAAAACACATGATTATCATAGGTACCATTACTGAAGGAAAATGTAGCTGTAAACTGTGTTACAGTGCTGAGAAGTCAACAACTCTCAATAGACATTCTGACCTCAAACATTTTTAAATATGAAAAATGTTTGTATCTTAGACATAGAAAAAAGATAGTATTGTTATTTGGGAGAAAGAAGATTATCTGTTCTTGTTTATAAAAGCGGTGCTATTAAATAAAAAATGTTCTGGATATTGTTTTATGAATAGAATATAAAAAAGTTTATTTAAATACATAGAAAAATGAAAAAGATGAAATGCAAGTTAAAAGCAGACTGATGGAATAATGTCTTTTGTGAAGTATTGGGGAGTCTGTGATATTAATAACTACTTATATACTTGTTATTGCACTTAATAGTCCAGAATTGGTACTTGAAGTGGTTGGGGAAAAAAGTAAGAAGTTCTTACATCTTTCATTGAAAATGAAGGTTTCAGGCTTAGCGGCATTCTGAAAAGAGCTCTGAATTTTAAAATAATGATCAGGAAATGGAAGATCCTTTTTTACAGCATATCCAGATTTTAGGTAAATACAGTGAATACATGACACTATGCATTGTGGATGACATTTTTGTGGGCTTCATTTCTCTAAATGACACTCTCAAGGAAGGTTATACATTTTTAAATGCGATATATGGTAGTTTTAAAAATCTCATAATCTCATGGTTTGCCTCCCTCTTGAAAGCTGTGAACAAACTGAGGGCCGATGGGGTTGGGGGGGAGGGGAAGGGGGTGATGGGCATGGAGGAGGGCACTTGTTGGGATGAGCACTGGGTGTTATATGGAAACCAACTTGACAATAAACTGTTTAAGTAAAAACATAAATAAATCAAATGCAAAAAAATTAAAACAAAAATGAGATATCAAAAAAATCTCATAATCTCATAAAA